AACCGGGATTCTTACGGTTTTCAGATTCTTTGATGAATATAATTAATGAATCTAAACGAGCATTGAGTGAGATTTACTTAAAGTGCATGATTACAATAGTTAAATGGTTACATAAGAATAGAATTTCCTAGCTAAAATGCTAGTTGTGACAGTTAGTGACTGTTATGTTCATGTTGATGCTTCATTATAGTAAAATGGAGGACTATAATGATTCAAACTTTGAAGAAAATAAATCGAACGTTGAAGGTGTTAAAGGGAACCCTACGTTTGTGTTGGATGAAATTTAGATGGCAATGAGAAAGAAGAATATATAATGGTAAGAAGGTCATCATCTCATGTAACTCAAATTAGCAACAAGGAAGAGGAGAACATTGACCATCTATTTTTCAAATGTGACTTCTCTATTCACATTTGGAATTAGTTTTTAGTTTGGAGTGATATCTTGCATTCGGTTCTTGTAACAGGTTAGAGTTCTTCATTGCTTTGAATACTGCTACTTCTGGGAAGAATAAGAAGACAATTTAGTCTTATTTTACTCTTTGGTTTGGGTGATTTGGAAGATGCGAAACTCTTTGATTTTCAAGAAGTTGAAATGTTCTACAACGAAGGCAGCATATGATTTCCAATTAATAGCGTTTAACTAGGGATGACAATTAGGTATCATGAAAACCCAACAAACATGTGTACGAACGGAATCAATTATGTTGGTAGCCGACGAGTTTTGTTGGTAGTACCATGATCTATATATATATATATATATATATATATATATATATATATATATATATATATATATATATATATATATAGCTTTAAATGAGAACCAAAAAAGGTTAAGAACCTCTAATTTTAGATGTTTATAAAGGGTTTAAGGTTTAGAGTTTAGGGTTTAGAGGTTAGGGTTAAGGGTTTAGGGTGTTTATAAAGGGTTTAGAGTGTTTATAAAGGGTTTAGGGTTTAAGGTTTAGCGGTTAGAGTTTAAGGTTTAGGGTTTAGGGTTATCCTAAACCCTTTATAAACATCTAAAATTAGAGGTTCTTACGTTTCTTAACCTTTTTTGGTTCTCATTTGAACCACTCCTATATATATATATATATATATATATATATATATATATATATATATATGTATATGTATGTATGTATATATATATATATATATATATATATATATATATATATATATATAAGGTTACGTTCATGTGAAACGACCTAATTTGTGAGACTGTGAGATGCATTTTTTATAATTTTTTATTATATTTTATTTTTTTTAGTTAGTTCAAGTTCCGAAAAAATATAATTTAAAAAAAGAATTTTTGGATTTTTCCATTTATTTTGCATTTTAAAATTATTTTTTAGAATATATTTTTTAAAAAAAATGGAATTTATTATTTTTTATTTTTATTTTTTTTAGTTAATTTAAGTTCCGAAAATAATATTTAAAAAAAGAATTTTTAGATTTTTCCATTTATTCTGCATTTTAAAATTATTTTTTAGAATATGTCAGTGTAATATTCTATTATAATATTTCACTTATTTAAAAAAAACAGAATTTTTTTTATTTTTTATATATTTTTAAATTTTTTTAGTTAATTCAAGTTCCAAAAATAATATTTAAAAAAAGAATTTTTGGAATTTTCCATTTATTTTGCATTTTAAAATATTTTTAGATTTGGTCTCACGGTCTCACAAAATTAGAATGGTCTCAAATGAACCTGAACATATATATATATATATATATATATATATATATATATATATATATATATATATATATATATATATATATATATATATATATATATATATATATATATATATATATAGGGAGTGGTTCAAATGAGAACCAAAAAATGTTAAGAACCGTAAGAACCACTAATTTTAGATGTTTATAAAGGGTTTAGGGTTTAGGGTGTTTATAAAGGGTTTAGGGTTTAGAGTTTAGGGGTTAGGGGTTAAGGTTTGAGGTTTAGTTGTTAGGGGTTAGGGTTTGAGGTTTAGGGTTACCCTAAACCCTTTATAAACATCTATAGTTAGAGGTTTTTACGGTTCTTAACATTTTTTGGTTTTTATTTGAACCACTCCATATATATATATATATATATATATATATATATATATATATATATATATATATATATATATATATATATATATATATATATATATATATATATAAGATTGTATATTTTAATTTTAAATGTATTTTTTTTTTGGAATGGCGAATTTTTTTGGACCATTTTTCGACTTGTACATGTCATCATTGCGCAGGGTCATGTTAATCTTCTCTGTATCGTTTCAATTTTATCGAATGTATCGTTTCAATTTTATCGAATGTCCCCTAAAGGAAAATTTTAAATGTATTTGATGGTTATGAGTTCAAGAGCTTTGATATTAACTTTTACCGTCTAGTGATGTTTAAAGTTTAAACTCATATTAACGTATCTCATTTACTCCATTGTTAAGTATAAATTCATGGTACAAAACTATATAATCTTTTTGGATTGAATTTCCTTTCCAACCATTCACAAAACTCTTATTTACAAAAAAAAATGTATGCTTTATGTGCACAATAACACATAAAACCTAATTCGCAAAACACTCATATATGTTGGTATATCGTATATATCATTACTAACATGTACCAACCGAACTTACTGTTAGTCAATTAGGTTGGTACAAATTATTATTGGTACGGTAGTTGTAACCAAAATCACATACCAACTATAATTTATATGGTACACGGTTTGGAAACAAAAATATCTGATACTGTACAAATTCCAACCCTAAGTATAACTATCCAAAATATGTTTTCAAATGTTATTTTGAATAACTGTGGTATTTCCCCATACCTATATATTTATATATCAATATCAGATTCTAACAAAAATAAATAAACATAAAAATAAAAGATAAAAAAAAAAAAAAAAAAGTTGACAAAAAAAATTAAGTAACTATAATAAAGTAAATATATCGCACAACGTGGTTATATATAAAATGTTTAAGTTGTATAGACGTGCTTTCCATCAAGTTTTGAGTTTACTGGGAAAAAAAATCAATTTATGAAAATAATTGAGTTATGGTCTAGTGATGGAATTTAATTTAATAGATTAAATGACCCATTTGAAAACATAGTCTTAAACAATCAAAATAAATAAAAGATAAAATCATTATATAGTTTTTTATTTATTTATGTGTTATACGCTTAATTATTATGTTAATTTTAAAATCTTGAGTGTCAAAGACCATCTTTAAATAAATTCACAATTACTATGTTGAGGAATATTGTATGCTATATGATTATCAATAATTTGGATATCTTGTATTTTTGTCAAACCATGTTATATATATATATATATATATATATATATATATATATATATATATATATATATATATATATATATATATATATATATATATATATATATATATATAAAAGTTATATTTTGACAATATATATGTATGGCATATCATAGAGTTGAGATTGACAGAATCTTCCCTCCAAAAGTGGATTAAAAGAATAGTGGTTAATAGTTAGTTAAAATTGTTTTTTTGCAGCTAGAGTACGAATATGACAATATCGTGTATTGGTGCACAACACCATAGGTACTTGGGTCCACACGAATTAACTAATTTGGTATATTTAACTTCTAACAACTAATAAGCCCCCAAAAAAACAGTGGTATATATTTAAATTGGTCCGAGTATCGGGTATTAATTTAAGCCGAAATCAAATATCGACCATAGTGGGTACTTCTAACAACTAACCATCATGGGCGGCATATGCACGAAGATATAGTATGTATTGCTGATACATAAAAAATAGGTAAAAAAAAATCGAAATTTTTTCCACTGCGGACAGAAAAAACAGATATTGTTGGTGCTACACCGGGACCTGCCTAAAACCGCCACTGCTAATCACCCTCCTCCCTTTGTCAGAAAACCAAAAATTGCCACAATTTTCGAATCTGTACACACTGCTGGAACCGCCTTCCTCCGCCATCAAACCCCACTAACCACCACTATCATCTGACCACGAGAGCTACCTAAGCCACCTTCCTTCATGCGCTGAAAAACCAAAGACCATCGCCATTTCGAATCTGCGCACATCACTTGAAATATTTCCCTCTGCCATCAACCATAATCTGTCGTCATTTCGGATCTGCACACACCACTAGAAACATGCTTTCCCTTTGCCATCATCCCCACCAACCATCACTGTCTTCCGACCACTGAAGCTACCTACACCACCCTCCTTCCTCTGTTAGAAAACTGAAACCCCTTATCTCGCCTTTTCCATTTCACCACATCCCCTATCACCATTAGAAGCAACCACTACCAACTCGAGTCGTCGTCAGCTCGCCACCCTGCTCTGTGTTTTGATTTTCATACAATAGTAGTGGTGGTGGTGGCGCCGCTAACTCTGTTGTTTTCGTCATAAACCCTAGTAGTTGCCGCCATATGTGTTATGCCTTTTGATTTTCAGTGGGTCTTTTGATTTTCAGTGGGTGGTGGTGGAGGAGGCAAGTGGTGGTGGTGATTTCCAAGTTTCCGTGTGTTTTGATGGTTGTGGTTGCTTTTGGGTTCAATTGGGTTAGGTTTGGACACTTTTTTACACCTATGTACCACCACAGGTGTACCATAGGGTGTAACCCTACATTGCCCCTTGCCTTTTGATACAATTTTTCCTTTGTCTCTATGCTTTTTGTTTCATTGTCCCACCTCATTCTTTGTATCCATTTCTGCAACATGTATTTAGGCTTATCTTAGACCCTATTGAGCTCATCTCAAATCCTATTTGATCTCATGTAAATTAGAATTATTAAACTGTAAACAATAGTTAGTTTGCAAATACATGTACAAAAGATTGAGATTTTATGCAAAGGTTCCAAAAGAGAGTGACAACTTCATACTATTTGAATTGATCATCAAAATTCCAAACTTAATGTTAAATGAGTCAAATGAGTATATGTTTTGTATATGGAATCAAAAAGGCCTTTACTTTAGCAATGTGGAATGAAAAAGGCCTTCTCCTATCTTACTAAAATTACTACCAAACTTTGTTACAAGAAGTTGCCAAACATCCGCATCAATCATTTGTCCACTTGAAGCAGCCATCTCAAGTACCTTCATCACTTCATCTTCCTCCCCTGAGTTACAAAGCCCCACAAGTATGATATTATAAGTGCTTTTATTCGGTAAACACCTCTTCCCCAACATCTCCTCCAAAATCCTAACCCCTTCCCTTGCATTACCAACTTTACAAAACCCTTTGATCAACATGTTATATGTAAATGCATTAGGAACACATCCCTTCTCCACCATGTCATCCCACAACCTACCACCCTCACACAACTCTCCCATCTCACACATTCCAGCAATCAGGGTATTATAAGTTAAAACACTAGGAATCGAACTCCTTTCAAACTCATCAAACAACTTCCTCGCTTCCCAAATCTTCCCCTTTTTACACAACCAGTGTATAAGTGTACTTGATATGGCATTATCAGGAGTACAATTCTTCCGCAAGAGCTTCTTCCATAGATCACATGCATCCTCAACCTTCCCATTTTCACATAACACATCAATCAATCTACAACAAAGAGCAGAAGTCGGCACGTATTTCTTCTCAAACATATCATCTAGCAAATTCAAAGCTTCACCTGTCTTGTTGTTTTTGCAAAAAGCTTCGATCATAACCCCATAAGTAACATCATTGGGCTCAACTTTATTATCCTCCATCTCATCCATCACTCTCACAGCATCAACCAATCTCCCTTGCTTACAAAACCCATCCATCAAGATTGTGTAAGTGGTGGCATCAGGGATCCATCCTCTATCAAGAATCTGATCAAACATCTTCTTTGCACCCACCATATCTCCTTTAAAAACATAAGCTCCCATTACAGTAGTATAACTCACAACATTCGGCACCATCCCCATTGCTGGCATTTCATCGAGCACCTTGAGTGCACCTTCTATATCACCCTTCTTACAAAATGCTTTTAAAAGAATGTTACAAGTAAACACATTGGGTGTGATATTGAACTTCTTTTGACTGTTTTTGAACAAAGCATGCACCACTTCGTATTTTCTGTTCTGAATCAAAAACATTCAGAAGGGTGTTTAAAGAACGTACGGATATTGTGACACCAAAGTCCTTGATCCTCAAGAAGATGCGTAAGGAATCTTTTGGTCTGCTGGCAATTCCATAATTACGTAAGACATCGATGAAAAGATTCTCCCCACACTTGATGCTTGATTTCTGTAGCTGGGAAAGAAGGGTTTCAACAGGTTCAAAGGCACGTGCACGAGAGAGTTTGTGGATGATGGAGTGGTAGGTTTCGTAATTATGTTCAAAGCCAGGGTGGTAGTTCCCAGCATGGTAGAAGATTTGGAGGGCAAGGTCAAGGTTTTGTTGGCGGGTGATGATGGAGACAAGGCGTTTGGGATAGAGTTTTTGAGGCCAGGGTTTGATTGGGGGAGTAACTGTGTAAGATTTCAGGAGTTGGGATTTGGATTCGATAATGGAGAGGTGGTGGTGTGAAGGGTGGGCAGCAAATGGATCCACATCCACAGCCACAGGAACAGGAGAGTTAGTGGTGGAGTAGCAGCAGTGTGTGTTGCTCATGTGTTGATGGAATTTCCTGGCTTCCTTTAAGATTTGAGAGCCCTTCATCATCTTTCTCTTTAGCTCTGCAACTTTCAATATGCATGGGTTTGTTTCAGCCTAGGTATACCAGATATCTAGAGCATGTAGATATCTAGAGCATGTATTTTTGTCGATTCTTCTTCTGCAATCTGCAGTGTGTTTGTAATTGGCTTGGGCTGGTTTTGTTGCTTCCTTACATAGTTGAAAACTAGGAGGTTAACTGTCAAACACAATGGCAACCAGAAGAATGAGAGAAAGAAATCCACAAAATCTTCAAACTATAGCCATGGATGGCGTTGTATCAACAAACCTCTTCTAAAGCACCTTATAAGTATTTCAATTTCTATAAACAATTAATATGCTTCGCAGATAATATTGGATTTTTTCAGTTTGGTTTGGTGCATCCATTTCCCAAATCAAAATCAATGACGATGATGAGAAATTGACACTTAAATCGCTCAGTTTCAACAACTGTACATACGTACATAAGCAGTATGTAAATAAACAAAATCAGAGTCGCTGATTTGTAACCTAATTTTACACCGTAAACATAATAATAACAACTCAAGAATCAAGCTTTGGTTTGAACAGGGAAAGCAAAGACTGATAAATTGTATGAATCAATTACAAATTAAAATAACTTACCGCTTAAGAAGTCGGAGCAGAGATATTCGCCCAGAAGACAAGAAACGGAGGTCGAGGGACGAAGGAGTAGTCCCATACTCACTCTCATGGACATGGAGAACAAAGCCCAGGAAGGAATGACGCTTTTTTAGAGAATCTAATTTTGGGCTTAAATTTGAGAGCCCTTAACCCTAGGGTTTAACTGCATTCCTTTTTTCTTTTAGAAAATCATAAAAATTATCAAAATAAATGATTTTGTAATAGCTATACGAAATCAATAGACTTATTAAGATAATTAAATTTTTGTTTGTTCACATATGAATAACTATATTTATTTATACACATCTAGATAACGGATTCTTTAAAAATATTTTCATATGACCATTATGTCTAGTTGTAGCAGATTACATTCGATCATAATGGTCATATGTAAACACCTTTAAAAAATTCGTTACCTAGATATGTATAAAAAAGATAGTTACAAAAACTGAACAAACCGAAAAGGTAAAAGTAAATTACACAAATGGTCCATGTGGTTTGGGTAAGTTATGTGTTTGGTTTCTAACTTACTTTTTAACTCGGATGATACTTACTGTTTATTTTTGTTGTGCGTTTGACCCATGTCTTATCTGAAAAAACTATTGTGCCTTTTTTAATTTATTTTTAATTCATTTTATTCTTTATGTATTTACTTTTTATATATTTTCAAAAATTAATAAAGCTTATATATTTATATCTCCTCACTCTAAACCTGAATCCACATTTGAAAAATTTAAGTTGGGTCCGACCAGTCACCATCCCACCTCTCATCCTCCTTAA